TAAATGCTCAATCAAAATAAGGATACAACTTGCATGTGGGTAGCTATTGCATTTGTGAGTCAAGCCAGCATGCAAAGGCAGTGGTGCAATCGAAGGAGAACTAACAAGAAGCCCTTCCCTTTGGATTGAATGGGGTTATTTTAAAGGGAAAGTATGCCCAGTCGAAGTTTGTGTACAGCAAGCAAGCAACAGTCCAAGACTTCAGTCGAAACTTGGAAAATTGAGGCAAGCTTGGATGAGGTTTTGAAGGTCATATTCTGATTGAAGAACACAGCTTCCACACATTCAAGAATTGGATTCGAAGGGTTATGTTCTGATCAAATAGTAGATATTATGTATGTTGAATAGTGAGATTCGAAGGGTCATGTTTTGATCGAAGAGTAGAACTTCTGTATGTTGAAGAGTGAGATTCGAAGGGTCATGTTACGATCGAAGAGTAGAACTTCTGACCTTTGATTCTCCCTGCTCCAGCATGATCTGAAGGAATTCTCTAGAAAGCTTGTAACATGTTCTGCCATCCCTTTCTGAATCACTTTTGCAAATTCTGATTGTACTTGTGTGAAAGCTGGCCAGAAGTTCTGTCTAAATTCTAACTAAAAAATACACAGAATTAGCTTCATGAACGTGTCTTCAAGGATTTATAACTTGAAATCCCAGCATTTCTAGGAGAACTTCTGTTCAACAATGTTTTAGATCTCATTGGGATCTATAACTTTCATGTCAGAAGTTCTGATTGAATCATCTTGTATCATGATAAAAATCTGGCCCAAAATCATGTAATTATCATATTTTCTTAACACTTAGAAAATTTTCTAAGTGCTTAAAAATTTGACTTTTCAAAGTAATTTTTGACTTTTGATTTCTTAATGAACCAACTTCGTGCCTTGGTGAAATATGATTTTTGAAACTTGATTTTGATAAAAAAAAAAGTCAAAATTTGACTTTTCAGTGTGCATTTGACCATTTTGTCCTTGTGAATGACTTTCTTGAAAAATTGTAATCTGAGACTTGAAAATTGACAGAAGCAATCATGAGGGTCCCGGATGATCCTTTGAGAAATGAGAAGAAAAATTTTGGGGTACAACAGCTGCCCATGTTCAATCTTCTTAAACCTGAAGAGTTAGATTGGCGAGTCCGCCATTCGTGACTTGAAGGTGGAAGATGATTGAACACTAAAGTGCCCAGAAATTTGCACTTGCACGAAATAACACTGATAGTTGATGATGTAGGGAATGAGCTTACAAATTCCATTTGGAGGAGATGACAGAGATTTGTCAGAGATGAGCTTAAGGATGCCATCTAGAGTGACTGGGGAGGTATCAGGATAAATATTTTGGTTGATTTATACTGATACAATAAATGTCTTTTGTCTGTTTTTAAATTGGAAGAGATAGATATAACTAGAAGAGGTCTTCATTTGATTATTGATTTTTTTTCTGCAAGGAAGAGGATTAGTTGCATGCAGATGTATGCATGGCATAATGATGTTCTCAAAATAAATGAGATTATGATGTATGCATTTGTTACGTATGCGTCATGGTTTATGAATGTGATGCGTCTATTGCAGTGTGTCTTTGTCTAGAAAAATAATCCCTGACAACATGCTGGGGAATCTTGGGAGGTTGAATCCCTAACTGTTGTTGGAGAATAAATGTATCTTCAACTTTGTTTAGAATATTTCTGCTGGAAATTTCTGTTCTGTTGTTTGAGGAGAAACTATGCTGGGGAATATTGGCTTGTTTAAGAAGACTCTGTAGAGAGTGTTAATCTCTGCTTGGGGAACAAATTTTAGGAGTCTTAACTACTCGTTGCTCTACCGGGGAGTTATTCCTGACTGGAGAGAATCAAAAGTTAGCTGTTATCTGGTCGAAATCTAGGCTTGGCAGCAAATTGTTGAGGATAATGAAGTTGACTGTTATCTGGTCGTATTTCAGGCTTCACAGTAACTTACTGAGGAAGATTAAATTAACTGTTATCTGGTCGAATTCCATGCTTCGCGGGAAATTACTTGGGAGAGTGAAGTTAGGTTGTTTTCTGGTCGGATTTCAGGCTTCAAAGAAAATTTCTAAGGTGGATGAAGTTAATCGTTATCTGGTCGAGCTCCAGGCTTTGCAATAACTTACTTGAAAGGATGAAGTTGAACTGATATCTGGTCGGGTCCAGGCTTCACAGTAACTTGCTTGAACAAATGAAGTTGAATTGATATCTGGTCGGGTCCAGACTTCACAGTAATTTGCTTGAAAGAATGAAGTTGAACTGATATCTGGTCGAGTCCAGACTTCACAGTAACTTGCTTGAAAGGATGAAATTGAACTGATATATGGTCGGGTCCAGGATTCACAGTAACTTGCTTGAAAGGATGAAGTTGAACTCATATCTGGTCGAGTCTAGGCTTCACAGTAACTTGCTTGAAAGGATGAAGTCGAACTGATATATGGTCGGGTCCAGGCTTCACAGTAACTTGCTTGAAAGGATGAAGTTGAACTGATATCTGGTCGGGTACAGGCTTCACAGTAACTTGCTTGAAAGGATGAAGTTGAACCGATATTTGGTCGGGTTCAGGCTTCACAGTAACTTGCTTGAAAGAATGAAGTTGAACTGATATCTGGCCAGGTCCAGGCTTCACAGTAAATTTCTTGAAAGGATAAAGTTGAACTGATATCTGGTCGGGTCCAGGCTTCACAGTAAATTTCTTGAAAGGATGAATTTGAAAATTTGAAGTTTATTTTAGTTTCCATGGAGGAGTTTATGTTAACTATTTTGAACTTAATTTTAACTTTATTGTAATTTGTATGGAGTTTTATTTTAATTTTTATTATGCTTAATTGAATTTTAATTATATAATTATATTTATTCTATTAATTGTGTTTTAATTATGTTTGAACTTTTATATTCTATTAATGCCAATATATTTTTTCATAATATTGTAAATATTTTTACAATTTGCCGAGGTTAAACTTCAAGGAAAATGCAAACGCATACATTTTATAAGGGGCTTAACCCTAGCCAATGGAAAACGCTTGCATTTTAGAGGGGCTTAACCTCAAGCAAATTTTCTGACGCATTGCAGTAGCTGAGCCCCTAGTTTGCGCCTACGACTGCATGTTGTAGGTTGGAAAATTTTGATTGCATTTTGCGAGGGGGTTAGCCCCAAGCAAAAAGGTGACGTGGAAATTCTCTCGCAAACCAATTTGTGACCCCCTGTTTTGTTAGGGCAGCAATCCCCTCGCAATTTTTGTATTTGTAGGATTTTTTTTTGCCATTTGTGAGGGGATTATCTCCTGACTAATTTCGTTTTTTCTTGTAGTGGCTTGGGGGTTTGGAGGGGAAGGGAGGGGAAGGGAGGGGAGAGTGATAGAGAGTTATTTATATTTAATTGGTTAGATATTTTAATTAACAATTTTAACATATTAGTATTATATTCTAGAAATTTCTTAGTCTTTAAGATTGTGCCACGTGCCACATAGATGACTTGATATTTTTAGAATACTATATATTCATGTAATGTGTTATTTAGAAATCAATAAAAAAAATCAATGAGGTTTATTTTTATTAGTTTAGTTTTTCTCTTCTCTAGTGTAGAATTTTAAAGTTCTTCTTAGGGTTTTGATAATGTTCTCTTTTAGAGCCCAATTGGTTGACCAATTTTACTCGAGGTCTGAAATGAATCAGAAAAGCACCAATTGATATTTCTCTTCTCTTTTTGAATATGCTCATTTTTCTGAATCCCAAACCACCCTTAGCTTTGAGTAGACATAGGTGGTTCCAACTTGCCCCATTGATATTTCTCTTCTCTGTCTTAGCTCCCCATCAATAGTTCTGGATGATTGCATCAATGATCGGGATCTTGGACACACTCATAACGTAGTTAGGGATGGCTTGAGCCACTACCTTGATAAGGATGTCCTTTCCTGCATAAGATGATTTCTTCTCTTTCCACCCATTTAGTTTTTCCTCACTCTATCCAAAATCAAGTTAAATTCTTGTCTTTTAGATCTTCTAATCTGGGTTGGGAGGCTAAAATAGCTTCAAATTCTGTTTGCATTGTTGATGGGCATCCAAGAGAGGAATTTTCCTTTAGATTCAGCATCCACATTCTTATTAAATATCATGGTCGATTTGTAAATGTTGAAATTTGGCACAATGCATCGTGGAAAAATCTATAACATGAAACTTAGACATATATGACTCAAAATTATAAAAGATTATGTTAAAAGAGGGAAAGGAACTTTCAACTCCCAAATGTAATTAAGCGCTTTCAGAACTTCCGCATCGACCATAGGAACAGAGATGGCACTATAGCGATTGAAACAAGAACTCACCTTGAACACACCTTCAGACTCAGTCGACCACACATAATTATCTCTACCTGAAGCTAGCAAACAGACTCGCTGGACTTGGTCCTCAAACTCGCCCCAGTAATCTGTCAAAGTAGTTTCTATAGTTGAATACGACGCAACTCTTGGATAACCTTTGACAGCACTTTATAGAAGGATAAAGTATAAATTGGAATAGCGTTTAAAACCGTATTGATCATCACCACACATTGGCAATTTTTCAAATCTCAAGTCTATGCATGTTGTGCATCCCAGGTTTGAGATAAGGCTGAATGTTGTGCAGGATTGTAACTTTGATGATAGTAACTTTGTTTGGGTAACTATACAGTTCTGATTCTAAAATAGTCCCCAATTTCACTCCAATCTTAGAATAAAGATAAAACTAAAAATGAATTTATAAAGAGTGACTCTCCTTATTTTATAAGAATGGGTCAAACTCAATATAAATAAATACTGAAAAACTTTTTTTTTACTTATCGGTCATCAAAAAAATTTAAGTTCAACTTTACCTTGCAATATGGATCTCGTTGCTGCTATCTTTAGAAATATCGATAGATTTTTTATTATAGTAAAAGACATAGTAATAAACCTGACAATGTTGCTATATCATGTGCAAATTCAAATAATACATATTTAATTTATTTGTAATTTTTTTAGTTATTTCTACAAAGTCTTATTAGATATCCACCTACTAAACATCTCAAGACATTCTTTAGGCTGATATTCTGGAGCTGTGTGTCCTCCACCCTGCAAATTTCTTAAATTAATCATTGAGTAAAGAAACTAGGTGATTCTAAGTGCATGATAAAGGAATTGAATGGATAATTACAAGATAATAAAACACTTATAGCAAAAACACTTTAACAAATAAAGTATAACCACAATAAACTAATCAAGTGAAATATATGTATATAAATTGTAATCATATAAATTTAGAAAAAGAGACTTGCCTTAACAGTTGCGAATGTCATCAGATTAGAGTAAGTTCGTGTGTATCTATACACACAGAAAATCAAAACAAATATTAGTTCAACATGTTCATAAATTATGCATGGTTAGTCATTATTTAAATTAAAGTTATAGTAATATGACTACCCTGCAACTTGGTCATCTGCATGCCACTGTCTCCAATCATCAACAATGGAATAATTCAAAGATCTTATCCATGCTTGTGTCCCCAAGAAAGGAACTAACATGTCATGATCTCCACTGTTATTAGAAATATACAAAATTTGCTGTCAATAAGAAATCATAAAAGTACATATAGTTCATCTTATGAATTATATGAGCATAGAGAAATACTACTGGCCTGTAAATTAGTGAACGAATGCCTTTTCTACTGAGATTTACATGATAATCATAACTGCTTAATATATCCTGCTTATTAGGTATATTAAAGGTGCAACGATACCATTTTCCCATACTACCCTGCAACACATGCAACCAACCACTTGTTTTATAATTACATAACTAGTAAACAACTTCATGAAATAGTGCACGAATGTGAGAAATTGTGTAACATGTTATAAGGAGAAAACATTTTTTTATAATAAATAGAAAGTCAACATAAGAAAATTATATATTTTATGTGTATGTTTCAACTTTATACCTTGCGTATGTGTAATGCTTTGCGAACACTCTCATCATTGGCCCAAAATCCGCAAAGGATATAAGGATAACTCTAAGAATAGAAAGAAAACAAACATCAAGTTAAACAAAGTATTTTGAGATTTATACAAAAAGATTGTTATTGCATTCCATAAGTATATAGAAAAGAAGCATTACTCGACAACTTAAGGGAGGCAATTTGAGATTTGAAGTGAGGAAGTTATAGGGATATTTTTTTATTAGAGATCTTCTTAGAATTTTTTCAGTGTCATCACGCCAATCACATTTTGGGTCTAAAATATGAGGTGAATTAAGTCCTGATATAGCTTCTTCAAATAATCCAATATCTTTAGAACATAAAATATTTCTGCTTTCTACATTTATATAATCGCCTTTACAATTTATCCGGAGTGACTGCAAAATAATATAGATTAGTTAGTTAACATATATCTCGGTGTTTCATAGGTTTATAATATGTATTAAAGAATTTTTTTTTTTTTAAATTACATTGTATAGTTCATCAGATATGAGTCCCATTCCATGAGCAAAAGAGACTTTATAGTTATGTTCCTTTCTAGTTGTTATAGCATTTCCCAATAAGTATCCCTGAAGAAAATAAATTAACATAATTAGTTAGAAGTTACTCGATGATGGCATGGTCAACTTGAAAGTTTTTATAATGTATTGTTTTGTTCAATATCATGCATTATCGGTTTAATTAAATTGGAGAAACAATATGTGTCTCATGTCCATGTATGTGTCAGTACTTTATAGATTTTCAATACTTATTTATATTTTTGACATTATTAAAACATACAGTAAACACATGTATTTTTTCTAAATGGTGCATCCTAAATTTATAGGGTGATCCATTAAGAAGCTAACCTGAAGATTAATCCAAGGTTGGACACCTTTTTCATTTCCTACAAACATAGAAATTTGTGAATAATTTCATTAAAATTTTCAATATACAACAAATGAATAGCAACACAATGGTATTACAATACATAATTGAGCCATGAGTTTTGTACCTTGTACAATTTCTTGAACAACTGCTGGAAGAGGAATGCCCGAGTATGAATCACCTCCAATGTAAATATCATTTGATTGGAATTTTGGGTGATCAACTAACCACTACAAATATTTATAACATAACTTTTGCTCTTTTTTATTGATTATAATAAATAAAATTTAAAGCAAAGAAAAAAATGATTATTGTGAAATGAAACCAATGGAAACTGTTTGAATACCTTTCTGAAAAATTGATGAGTTTGATGAACAAGTATGGAGTCGCTTCGTTGTGAACCTGAATTTGTTGTGGCATATGTAAAGCCCGTGAAAACAGGCAAATCTACAAATATAATGTTGCTCACCTATAAATAAAAAATTATTTTAGAAGTCAGTATCTAAATGTTTAAGTAAAATGATTCGATGAAATTGATACAATAAAGCAAAAAATATTAAAATTAGCCAACACAAAACAGAATTTTAAACTCTAACCTTTGTCCATGGATATGGTTTCAGTATCAGATTAGGCAGACTCCCATTATATTCCTCCTTTCTAAATTCAAGTGGACCTACAATGCAAGATCTCAAGTTTTAGTTTTTTTTTATAAGCAACTTGTATATTTACAAAAGAGTATTAGGGGCACTCTAACCCTTTTACAAGGTAAAGATCAGCATTACAATCAAGACACATTTAGATATTCTTTTGGATGCTTGCACCATTCATAATAGTTACATTTCAATTTACATGTAGAATATATTACAAGCCACATCCAAGAACATATTTTTATGTTGAAAATCACCTCACTCACATCTCCTATTTGTTCCTGCATCAGTTTCAAGTAGCAAGATTTAACTGTGAATGATTTATCAAGACTGCAGAACCATTAAAAAGCATCATGTATGTCTTTTTTGGTTCAAGTATGTGAGCTATAAGACATTGGATCAGAATAATCTTCTTTGTGCTCCACCCCTTAGTTTCGGCCCATATGTCATGGTTGGCATTTAATTCTTCCTCGTTAGATCTATTTTCCATCTCCTCGTCACCCAATGACTTCACAGGATCTTGTTGGTTGGAACTAGGAGTGTCAGCATGATTATCCTTGGAACCTAGCACTTGATATCCTGCTTCCTCAATTTCCAATTGCTTTTCGTTTGTGTCTCCTTTCTGATTGCTATTAATCGTTCCACTGAAAAAGTATCTTAGCATTGTTGTCATCACCATTTTTTCCATAGTCAACTTTGCTGTTACAGTCTATAATTTATCTAATCATTGTACCTTTCATTTCTTCTTGCTCCCTCAACCCCTCTCACGTGTAAGAACAAGATTTGATTTTACAATATTATCTCTGAGTTTTGATGATAACAAATGAGTATGTTTGTATAAATAATTTTGATACTCTAATGTTTGTTATTGAGTACTTAACAAACAAGTTATGCTTCTGATGGATGGTGTGACCAAGATATTAGAAGAGAATTAATTTCTCTTATGTGTTACACAAGTTCTGTTGAATAGTAGCAAGACACTCCAAAAAACTCTGACGTGTAGGCTCTGATGTTTGTCTAAAGGAACCAGTCAGAAAATCTGAAGACAGAAGTTGATACTTAAGTCCAGATGCTGAAGACTCATGTTTCTGAAGAGAATGGGTTCTAAAGAAACAGGCAGAAAATCTGAAGACAAAAGTTTTAACTTAAGTCCAGATGCTAAAGACTCAAGTTTCTAAAGACAATGTGTTCCAAAGAAACAAAGTTAGAAGATCTGAAGACAAAGTTTCTACGGAAGTCCAGATGCTAAAAATTTAGTTTCTAAAATGACAACCTATTTTAAGAAGACAAAGTTAAACGATCTGAAGACAAAGTTTCCACTGAAGTCTAGATGTTGAAGACTTGTGTTTCTAATGACAAGGTTCTTAAAAAGGATTCTTAAATAACCAAGTGCTAAAGATTCTAAAGACGCGGTTTTTAAGACTCTTAAGACTTGAAGCTCTTCTGATCCAAGGTTCTTTACAACAGGTTCTCAAGACCAAATGCTGAAGACTCTAAAGACGCGTTTCTTAAGACTCTGAAGACTTGAAGCTCTTCTGATCCAAGGTTCTCTACAACGGGTTCTCAAGACCAAGTGCTAAGGACTTTAAAGACGCGGTTCTTAATACTCTGAAGACTTGAAGTTCTTATGATCCAAGATTCTCTACAGCAGATTCTCACGACCAAGAGCTGAAGATTCTGAAGACGCAGTTCTGAAGACTCTGAAGACTTGAAATTCTAAAGACCTTGTGTTATGTTCCCGCTTCTAAACTCATGCTCGCAGAAGTCTCTGAAGTGCAGAAGAAAAGAATATAACATTAACATGGTACAATAGTACACAGTACGAAAAAGCCTTATTCCACTACCTCTCCACTAGCTTGAATTATGGAAGAGTAAATGACGTAGCAGTACTATTTGTAACGACTCTTTTTCAAATAGCCAATGGCTCTATTTTTCTTGGCTATATAAGAAAATAATTGTATGTTTAAAATATTGTTGGTGTTCAATGTTAAAATTAAAGCTGACATTATCAGAACACAACCAAAAATCTATCAACCACTATAACAACAACAAGAACAATTGTTATCAAATGATTCTTCAATCATGTTGATAATGATTACAATGAAATCATTGATTCACAATGTGCTTAATTTCATATGTTGCACAAAGCTTGTTAAACCGCAGAAGATGATGAGGATGATCATGAAAGCTCCAACTACAAATCCACAATATAAATGTTGTGCTATAAAGTGATCATAGAAGAAAATAGAACAAGAGTTGTTGTCCAAAATATTCTAAGGTGAATCAAGATGAAGAAGTTCTTCTCTTTACTACATCAAGATCAACAAAGCTTCCAGAAGCTTATTAAGAAGAAGACTTCAGCAATTCAAGTGCTTTAGATTAGGGGTGTTCGCGGTGCGGTTTGGGCGGTTTTGAAGCAAAAAATCATCTGAACCGCAAGAGAAAAAAACATGCGGTTCGGTTTGGTTCGGTTGGCTTTTAAAAATAAATCCGAACCAAACCAAACCAAACTAATGCGGTTTGGATTGGTTCGGTTGTTTCGGTTTTTAAAAAAAATAATTATTATGTCATACATACAAATATATAGGAAAATATAATTTTATATTTAATTGTTCATACATTACCATAAAAAATTTATAATTGTCAAAATAAATTTATAATTTGATACATAAATTTGCGTATTATAATTTTATCTAAATCTAAATAATGATATCAACAAGATTGCATTCTTAAATAAATATTATACAAAGAATATGATAAAATATATTTTGTGAAAATAGTATTTATAAATGAATAATATTTTATTTTTTATGATTTGTAAATTAAAATGAATATAATACAAAGTATGATAAAATATACACATAATACATGTTGATTTATCTAAAGAATTATAGAAATATATATTGGTTAGTAAGATTTTATAACATAATACGGTTTTGTTTGGTTTGGTTCGGTTTGTAAAATACAAACCGCAAACCGAACCGAACCATGCGGTTCCACGAGAAAATGACCCAAACACATCCGTACCAAATGCGGTTTTTTTGCGGTTTCGGTTTGGTTCGGTTCGGTTTTGCAGTTTTCTATTGAGCCGGTTTGGTTTTGAACACCCCTACTTTAGATTATTGTCCGAGAAGAAGTTATTTGAAGAAAAGAAGACCACACATCAAGCTACAATACAATGTAATATTTTTAGTGTGTATTAGGATCTTTTGATGTATGCTTAAATTCTGTTTACATCCAGCTTGTGTAGAAGCATGTTATTGTAAACAAATGTAAATCAAGCAGTTGTTTGATGATACCTTGAGAGGCTGAGTGAAGGTTTGTGCTCAAGAAGATAGTGACTGAAGATCATTATGAAATCCTAGCAGTCGATTCTATTGAGTCAATGGTAGTCATATCTCAAAGGGGACTGAGTGAAGGTCAGCCTTGTGAGGTTACTGATGGATATCATTGGAAGGAAATCTTTTGTAGGAGATTTTGAGGGATCAGATTCTATTGGGTTAATGAATGTTATATCCAGTTTGGATCCCTGAACGCGTCATTGGATGTTAGTCACCGGCGGTTGCCCGTGCGACTGTAATCAGATTGGTTATAGTGGATTAAGTCCTTGAGTTCAAGGCGAAATCACTTTAGCACGGTGGACTGGACTAGCTTGGATGTTTCTCAAGTGAACCAGGATATATCACGTGTTCTTTACTTTTACTTATGCCTAATAGTTTATGTTTTCATAACTTAATTAGAAGCATTGCTTAGAATCAATATTCAGAAGCGTTGTTTAACAAACAATGCTTAGAAGCGAAAGTTTGTCAAGAACGGAAATATCTTAGGATGTTTGCATAAATCTTCCATCCATTGATGACTATATTGTCCAATTTTATCACCAACATTCTCACGTCTTTCACATCTCTGAATCTTGCAAAGTCGTATTTTTTACCTTATTTATCACGTTTTGGAGGGATAACAACCTCATCAATGTCTCTAAAATCTTTGAAGATGTATGATACCTCTCCCTCGCCCCATGATTTCCTTGGAACTGAGTGAAAAAGAAGCTTGTTAGGTTACTCTGTTCTATCTTTCTCTTCTCATTCTCTTTTTCAACACCCCATATTGATTCACTACAATAATAATTTCTTGATTTTTTTTTCTTTCCATCGTCCTCCACCCGACTTCTGTGTCTCCGACCACACTGGATTCTTGTCTCGCAATTGGAATTTGTTTTAGGATCTAATTTTTTTCCTAATCATCTTATTCTTATGGAGTTTAAGACAACTCTTACAAAATACTTTTTATTTAATTTAATTTTTTATATTTTTAATGTGCCATCTTAGGATAATTTATAAATAAATTTATTTTATTATTGAGCATAAATTCAAATGAATTGTCATTTTAATTCCTAATTCTTAAATATATGATGCACTATCACTATAGTTATGAATGTATCAAAATTAGTAAATTACAAATACATTATCAAATGTATTTTTTGTTAGTGACTCTATAGACTAATTTGACTATCAATAAACACAATTCAAGGACTAGACAAATCAATTAAAGACGCATTTGATACCTAAAAAAGATTAATAAAAGATATCTATACTATTGCATATACTTTAATGCTTCAAAAACTTATTGTAAGAGTATCCAAAGCAAAGTTTCAATTACCAATTTCAAAAACAAGGCCAGACAAAGCAGAGCAACCAGGTCCACCAGTTAGCCAAAGCATGAGAGGATCTTCCTTTGGATTATTCTCTGATTCAATGAAGTAGTAAAACACTTGCACATCCTCTTTTTCTCCTACTCCCACATACCTTATTAACAAATATCAATATGAAATATTTATTTTAATACCATATAGCTTAGTAAATAAAAAACATGAGGTATATAGCCAAGTTAGTAAAACTAACCCAGTTTCAAGCAGAAAAGGAAGGGGACCATTGAATCCAGGAAGAAACTTTACTATGGAGCCACATGTTGCAACTTGAAAAGAAATATACGATACTAAAAGAAGAACAAAAAGAAAATCCTTCCCATAATATGATCTAAACTTTGCCATTTTTAGTAGTTGTTGTCAAATGGAGCTTGTTGCAAAATATGTGTGGTTTTCAAAGGTCAACAATATACAATGTATAGAATGGAGCATCATGTTAGGTATCTAATAGATCACTTTTTATATTCATTTCAATTATATTAGTAGTAGAGTGCACATGCTCAAAGGAATTTAATAATATATGCCACTTCATCCTAATTGTTTTTTTCAGACACAACATTATTGACCTAAATATTCTACATTTAAGAACGTGTAGAAGGGTCTCTTTTGTAAACATACACCAAAACCAAAGAAAATTTAATGTTAAATTTATAAATTTAACTTGAATTTTAAATTGTAGTTGGTTGTGTTCTGATTACAGTTATTGTAGTAAAGTAGATATAAATGTTGTTAAATAACTAAACCATTTTTGGTTAGTGAATGCAACAATTGTTTCCAAACACTTTAATAATCAAATCAAATTATAGGTAATAATAACTAATAGTAATGTCTTAAAAATCGGATTGAATCGATTAGTTCAATCGGTTGGACTGAAAATCAAAGATCAATCTAGTTGGATTAACCTTTTAAAATTGTTAGTGGATCAAAACTGAAATAAAATCGAAAAAATTGAATTGAACTAAAACCATTCGAACCAAAGAACGGAGTCGGTTTTGTAAAATTGATCGATTAAAAAAATCATCAAATTTGCTTCTTTTTTTGAAAGTTTAATATGTAAATATCAAAACTTAACATACATTCTCCAACCACAAAAAAATTGTATTTTGTTTTTACAACCATACAAACTTCTAAGTTTTATCATTTCATTATAGTTTTCCTTTCAACCACTTTCAATCATCATCATGCCGTCTCTTTCAAACATAGTCACGCTATCCAATTCAATATTAGTTGTTGTTCAAGATAATATTGTTTGTTACGGTCAATTATGGCTTGTTTATCGTAGTTCAACTCAAATTTGTTTTTTGTTGTTGTTTTATTAAGTATATTGTGTTGGAAATCCATCAAATATCTATGATATCACCACACAATGACAATGAATTATGAGAAAAGAAAAGAAAAGAAAGAAGACAATTATTTTATGCAGAGTTTCTCTCTTCCCACAAACTGTGGAAAATTTTATTAATCACTTGCAACTGTAAATTATGTGATTACAATGAATTGACTTAATTACGAAATTAGGGGTTACTCCCTCTTTTTGTAGATTTAGGTTTGTTTGCTTCCTAAGTCAAAGCTCAAAACTATAAAAGCCTAAAATACTTATTTTGGTACTAAATCAAATATATCTATTTTAGATCTAAATCAAATTTATCTAACCTAAAACCAATCAAATTTGTGTGTAGCTTGCTTCGATCCACAAGCTCTTCGACGGGGAAATCTCCCTTCGACACACACACTGTTTTGACACAATTGAATTCAATTTAATACACCGCCTAATTCATTGTGTCTAAACTATTTATATTCATTATGGTTCTTAGTCTTCTAAATACGTTGATCTGCACTCCCTTCGTCATGATGTCTGTAATCTGATTCTCAGTTCTGCAGTGTTCCAAATTTATCTTCCCATCTGCTATCTGCTCTCAAAGATAGTGGAACCTCATTTCGATGTGCTTGCTTAGACCATGTGATATCGGGTGCTTCGCCAGATTGATAGCTGATATGTTGTCCATCTTCATGGTAATTGCTCCATGTTCTTTCTCTGTTATCTCTTCGATCAAGTTCACCATCCAAGTTGCTTGACATGCACAAAGAGAAGAAGCTATGTATTCTGCTTCGCATGATGATAATGCCACTAATGGTTCCTTTCTTGAACTCCAAGCAACTGGTGCACCACCTAACATAAACACATACCCTGCTGTTGATTTTTAATCTTCAGCATCACTACACCAACTCGAATCAGTGTATCCCACTAACTTGCATTTTTTTCCTTTATCAGCTGCAGAAAACAAAATGTCATAATTAAGAGTTTCTTTAAGATACCTTAGTATACTTTTCACCGCTGCTAGATGTGATATATTTGGCTTCTGCATGAATCTACTTACCATACCTACACTATATGCTAAGTCAGGCCTTGTATGACAAAGGTATCTCAATGACCCAATAAGTCTTATGTATTGGGTTGGGTCGACATTATCTTCATCTGCATCTTTTGACACACTACGCCAAAAATAAGTTTTAGCAGCACATAAAAGAAAGCGCTTTTGGAAAAAAGCGCTGCTGTAGGTTTTAAAAAAAATCGCTTAAAAAAGCGCTTTCAAAGGGTGCCTTAAGAAAGCGCTTTTCAAAAGCGCTTCTAAAGGTCACCCTTAGAAAGCACTTTTTGGGAAGCGCTGCTAAAGCTGACCTTTCAGAGGGTACCTTAAGAAAGCGCTTTTCAAAAGTGCTGCTAAAGGTCAGTCTTAGAAAGCGCTTTTCCAAAGCGCTGCTAAAGCTGACCTTTAGAAAGCGCTTTTAAAAGCACTGCTATAGGATATGCTACGAAAGCGCTTTTTGATGTAAAATCGTTATTATAGATGACCTTTAAAAAGCGCTTTTAAAAGCTCTTTCGTAGGGGTAATTGGTTGAGATGTTTTAGAGAACAAAATAATTAAAATAAAAATTTAAAACAAAGTTTAAAAGCAGAAAAAATTAGAAATGTTATTTGAGTGAAGATATGGATTCCATGAGTCACACAGCATTACAATATCCCCAAAGCTACCTTCACATCTATTCCCTTACCTCATCTTACTAACACTTGCATCCATCTATCTCTTCTCTTCTCTCATCTCTCTCCACACACCCTCTTCTTCAACCTCACAGTCACTTTCAATCTCCAACTGCAACTTCTTCAAAGGCAAATGGGTTTTCAATCCAAATCACACCCCACTCTACGACGACACGTGTCCCTTCCATTGAAACACATAGAATTGCATCAGAAACCAGAGGGAAAATATGAGCTTGATCAATTCATGGAAATGGGTTCCACGTGGCTTCCATTTGCCTCGGATCGACCCGTTTCGGTTTCTTGGTGTGATGAGAAATAACAACGTTGGGTTTGTTGGGGATTCGCTCAATGAGAATTTCTTGGTTTCGTTTTCGTGTATTCTTAGGGTTGCTGATGAGGGTGCACGGAAGTGGAAAAAGAAGGGTGCTTGGAGAGCCTACACAAGTATTGATTTCATTGGATAAAATTCAAATAATTTATTTTAGACACTTCCAAACCCATTCCAAGGACATGGATCTTCTCCCACAGTGCAGGAGTTATGCGTAAAACATTGCCACACCATACTTAGTATGGTGTTGCACTTAAAATACTCTTTCACCGCTGCATTGTGGGAGAGGATATGAGTCCTTTTTATAAAGGTACGAGAGTGTTGTTAAATTGGCATAGTCTTCAGACTATGTTTCACAGTTTTTGTTTTGATATCTTACCCATCTTGTTTAAAAAAAATTGTGAATAATAGGTTAAGTATCATAATGAGTTACAACCTTTGTATTCAATTCTACCTTGGAGAATCATTATGTTGTTTTAGTATATTGATATTGCACATGCAAATGGTGAAAGTTTAGATTTTTTCTTAGAGCTTTGAATGTTTTTTCTTTTTGTATGTACCCTGAAAATGGTGATTATTTGTGTCTTTAATTTTATCACAGGTAGCTTGGGGACATAAAATGTCAAAGTATTGAATTTGCACTTTGGTCAAAAAACAGTTGGTCTTTCACAACATTTTGGTCCTAGAAGTTGGATCAGTAGGATGCCACTGCAGTACACTAGTTTGATTACGTCTCTACAGACAGTTAGATATTTAACCTTGTCTAATGAACAATCGGCAGAGATCCAACGTAAGTTATTTAATGTTTGATATTCACAAGTCATTTTTTTGAATATGTGATAGAAATGCCGTTGTTCTAATAGTCAATTTCTTTAAGCCTATTTAAAAATTCCTACCACCTATGATTTCTAGTGCATTATTTATGTCCTACTTAGGACTACGGAAACGATCTGATGCATTCTTGCGACTATGTTGATGTCGTATTGTGTGTGCATTATAGTTTTCCTTTCAACCACTTTCAATCATCATCATGCCGTCTCTTTCAAACATAGTCACGCTATCCAATTCAATATTAGTTGTTGTTCAAGACAATATTGTTTGTTACGGTCAATTATGGCTTGTTTATTGTAGTTCAACTCGAATTTGTTTTTTTTGTTGTTTTATTAAGTATATTGTGTTGGAAATCCACCAAATATCTATGATATCACCACACAATGACAATGAGTTATGAGAATAAAAAAAAAGAAGACAATTATTTTCTGCAGAGTTTCTCTCTTCCCATAAACTGTGGAAAACTTTATTAATCACTTGCAACTGCAAATTCTGTGATTACAATAAATTGACTTAATTACGAAATTAGGGGTTACTCCCTCTTTTTGTAGATTTAGGTTAGTTTTCTCCCTAATCCAAAGCTCAAAACTATAAAAGCTCAAAATACCTATTTTGGTACTAAATCAATTATATCTATTTTAGATCTAAATCAAATTTATCTAACCTAAAACCAATCAAATCTGTGTGTAGCTTGCTTCGATCAACAAGCTCTTCGACAGGGAAATCTCCCTTCGACACACACACACACACACGCACACACACTGTTTCAATACAATTGAATTACAATTTAATACACCACCTAATTCATTGTGTATAAACTATCTATATTCATCATGGTTCTTAGTCTTCTGAATACTTCGACATGCACTCCCTTCGTCATGGTGTCTGTAATCTGATTCTCAGTTCTGCAGTGTTCCAAATTCATCTTCTCATCTGCTACCTACTCTCAAATATAGTTAAACCTCATTTCGATATGCTTGCTTCGACCATGTGCTATCGGGTTCTTCGCCAGATTGATAGCTGACATGCTGTCCATCTTCATGATAATTGCTCCATGTTCTTTCCCTGTTATCTCTTCGATCAAGTTCACCATCCAAGTTGCTTGACATGCACAAAGAGAAAAAGCTATGTATTCTGCTTTGCATG